GGCAGGGGCCCAGCATGGGTGGGGATAAGGAGTCCTCTAATGACTGATGACTGACAAAGGCACAGATGGCCACATACTCACGGGAATGTGACTTGATTTTAGAGCCGCAGACTGGGAAGAGAATGAGCAGGAAGTTCACTAGGTCGACAGCTGCCAGGTAGGCACCGGTGAAGACCTGGAGGCAGGCGGAGATAGTGCTGGTGCTCAAACAGCCTTCTTCAGCATCTGCAGCATCTCTAGCCTCAGCATCTCTGCTCCCACCCCATTTATGACGTCGCACTTGCCCCTCTGCTGGCCCAGGGAAGCCCCCCACCAACTCCAGAAAGGCTAGCTGTTGCTCCTCATGATGAGTGACTGATTTTCCAAATCACCACAGTACGTTTATTTGAGGAGGAAAAGGATCCAATTTCATCATGAATTGCCCAACTGGGCAGAACCAGAGACTCTGATTGGCAGGACTTCTGGATATTCCTGGCCACACAGGCAGCCCAACCCCATGGGTGGAGGGCGTCCCTGTAAGGAGGTGCATCAGACCAGGAAATCCTGAGCACTTCCAGGATTTCCCACGTCCAAGTGCTGCCCTCCCGGCAGACAAGTAGTGTTGAGGAAAACGGGCAGAACACGTTCCCCTGGCCCAGGCCCGAGCACGATGGAGGCCTCTTGAGGGGTGGCTGGGTGTCAGGCCTTATTTACAAAGCGGGAGGGAGCTTCTAGCTGAGCTGAGGGTTGAGTGTGGGGCTGACTCCGGGTTACACATCGGGGGCGGGATCTGAACCTGTTAGCTTTTCGCTCGTCCAATCTGGGCCTTCACCAGTTGCTCTCTGGGCCGCTGTCCCAGTCAGGCTCAGCAACCCCACCCAGCCGCCTTCTGCGGGGCTAACAGGTGACCCAGTCGACCCACGGGTGGTGTGGGCCACCCTCCTTTGCCCCCTGCCCCCCATCTCTGGACACACGGCGGATAAGAAAACAGAAGTTGCGCAGTCACCCGTCAGCACAGAGGGGCTGGGTCTCTACCCTGTGTCTCCTGCTCTACCCTGTGTCTATGCCATGGTGTCCTCTGCTGTGGCTCTTGGGCCCAGTCTTGTACTTTTCTGAGCCTCCCTTTCTTTATCTGTACCACAGGGATGAGGAAAATGTGCAGCCACCACAGAGACTGTTGGGCGGATGGCATACCCCAACACATGGAGAGTGCTTGGAACGGCCAGAAGGAAAATACCCCTCAAACCGAACCCACTGCCCTGGAGTGGGTTCCAACTCTGTCCCTAGAACAGCGCAGACCAGCCCCATGGCATTTCCAAAGCTGTCATCTTTACGGAAGCAGGCAGCCTCATCTTTCTACTCTGGAGCAGCTGGTGGGTTTGAACCACCAACTTTTCAGTTTGCGGTCCAATACTCCCCCTGACGGTGCCACTAGGGATCCAAGACTAGGATCAGAACGGTCTAAATCTGTGTTCCCACGACTAGGCTTCTCTGGGTGGCGCCCCTGCAGTGTGGGCCCCTGAGCCTGTGGCCCAGCCACGTTTCCGAAGACCTGTTTGGGGTCAGGGATCCTCTGCACAGGTTTGCTTGAGGATTTAGACTTTGGAAAAACTTCAAAACTTCTCCTCACTCCTGAGCCCACATTAGTCAGCCACCCCTGCCGGAGGTGGGGCCTGACACAGCCTGTCATAGCAACAACTACTTATGTGCCAAGGCGCTGTGGTAGCGTAGTGGGCTGTGAGTGGGGCGACTAACGAGAAGAGCTGCGTTTCAAACCTCCCAGCTGCTCTGGGGGAGAAAGACGAGGTTGACTGCTCCTGTCAAGATTTACAGTCTCGGGAGCCCTAAAGGAAGAGTTCTTCTCTGTCTTGTAGGGCCACTGTGAATTGGAACCAACTTGAGGGCAGTGGGTTTAGCTTTTTCATCTCAGTTTTACTAGGTGCCAAGTACTGATTTAGGTGATTAGGAGACAACAGTGACCCAAAGTCTAAAAATCCTTGTCTTTGTGGAACTTGTATTTTGGGGGGCTGGATTGGGGTTGGGGTGGCGTGTCAACATGCAACAAGCAATGAACACCATCAAGAAGTAAAGTAGATGAGGGGCTGAGGGTAGTGCAAAAACCTAGACAACAGACGGGCCTGGTGTGCAAGTGGCAGGGGTGGTCACAGTTTTAAGGTGTGGTCCAGGGAGGCCTGCCAAGTGGCATCTGTTCAGCCAAAGAGGAGGTGAGCAGTGACCCATGTGGATTTCGGGCCGAGAGCTGATCTGCAGGGCAGAAAGAGCATCCAGGATGCTCGCACTGTGGCCAGCCTGGGCCTTCTATGCTGAAGACACAAGACAGAAGTCATTGTGGCTGCAGCAGAGAATGGTGCGCCAGGCCTGAGCCCCCACAAAGCCACTGTTGCCCGGGGGCCTAACATACCTGGATGGTGAGCTGTCTGGCCAGCACAGCTCCTCCAGTGTCACATAGGCTCGTAAGGAGGCAGCATGCGGCACACAGTGCTGACTGGTCCTGTCCCGACTTCTTTGAACATCTCAGGTAGAGAAGTCTGAGTGGCAGAGAGGGGTGTGGTCAGAACAGGCCAGGCTGACTCTGCACCTTTCCCAAGCAGTTCGGCATCAGTGCACCTGATTTCTGAACTTGGGTTACACACGGACAAGAGAGGGTGAAAGCACGTGGCGTGTCTGTCAGTGGCCCCCGAGCCCTCCCCTCTCCACAAGAGGAATTACCTTGAGCCCACAAACCAGGCAGACCCACAGCCACCACCATGATCAAAAAACCTGCTGCCAGGTGGTAGATTTTTAATGGAAAGGGGGGGGGGGGGTTATAAAAGAAACGCATCACTGCAGTCAACCGCAGAGAAAAGTTAATTGTCCAAACTGGGGTTGGATTACTCAATAAACACAGTAAGCACAGGCCTATTCATGTTTACTAATCTGTAATGAACAACTTCCCTTTGTTTGTCACCGCATCACAAACATTTCTGCTTCTAACTACGGCTGGCACCGGGCTCTCTCCGAACCCCCTGAGCACCTTCCTGCGGAATCAAAGCCGCTCTCTAGATTGACATCCCTGGCAGGGACCGAGTACCCAGTCAGCACGCTTCCTTGCGGAACGGTTAGTTTCCCATGGGGCACAGTTAGTGCTCCTGAACTTGTCCCGGGGCGCAGGGAGAGGGGAAGGCCAATTCGGAGCTCGTGGCTTGCAGCCCAGGGCCCCATCCAGGACCACCCAGCCTCCTCCGGCTGGCTTCCCTGGGTGCGGAATCCGGAAAGAACTAGCCGACTTCAGCCGACAGCCCGCTGCTGGTTTCGGTCCTGGAACCAGGCTGGCTTCGGCATCCCCCTTCCCTCTAGCTTTCCCGGAGGGAGTTGCGGTGCGGCGGTGGCGCCCCAGTATCCCCTACGCCAGACCCAGGGCCCCCCGCCCCTCGCGCTGCCCGGCCCGTCCCCATTACAGTGCGTGCGCGGCGATCCAGCAGCAGGAGGCGCAGATCCAGAGGCCGAAGGAGATGCAGACGCGGTGGCGGG